ACGTCTGGTGCATATCGCTTGGGCTCCTTTTTTGGCCTGCTGTAGTTCATGCTGCCGAGTCCGATACCCATTAAGTGGGTTGGCAGCCCGAGATCAGTATGACCGACCCCTTGGACTTCCGCCCTTGCACGCTCTTGTCCAAACCTGCGCAAAATGGGCTTGCCCTGTTTTGCCTCTCTGAAGCTTGAAAGCAAGTTTCTTTCGGCCTGTGCCATCCTTTTGAACATGGGCACTAAATTCAGGGCGCCCAGAAAAGTGTTTAAAGCGAAGCCAAAGTTCGGGTTCCAGAGCCGTACGGCTCCCCGAAAAGCGCACTCGAACTTGACCGCCCAACACCCCTGCCCTTACGCCCAAATGGGTCTTTCTATTGTTGCTTTCAAACCAAAAAGGGCGCAAGCAAGCCCGACATTTTCAGACAGATGCTGACCAAACTGTTTTCAACTTGAAATCCAGCAAGTTCGAAAGCCGACGCACGCCGCACGCAACCGAGAGAAGCACCATGCAGGTATCCTGGGCCGCGAAAAATCGTCGATGGCTCCCTTTCTTGGCACTCACGGGTTTGGGGCCAGTAGAATCACCCCAAGACCAGCTGGTGTTAAGCACATTGTAAAGCAAATTAGTTTTGGATTCCTTAAGGAACCTCGTCTTCTTGAAAGGGACACCAGCTACTTTCTGGGTCTCCTGTATTATTCTTCTCGAGATGGAAGACATGATAGAATTCCAGCGCAACGCTCACCAATTCCCGAGGCGCGTGTCCCCTTTTGGGGCTCCCCAAACTTCCTCACCCGTCAAAAGGAACTTCAAACTTGCCCAAGAGGCGACGTGTTGTGCGCTGCCAGAGAAATATTGGAATGATATTCTGACCATGAAGATGCGGAGGCTCGCATTTTGAGATAAAAGCGAGACCTGTGCTATGCAGCTTGGAGCTACCCTCAACACCCCTATCCCAACACGTCGGCCATGGTTCCCATAGGTCATTCCGAAGAAGCCTGGCTCTTTTTCCAAGCTTACGAACGAAGAGAGAGATGAGACCCTCAGAACGAGGTTGATACACCGGCACAGCAATCAGTCTTTTGACCCTGGCAGTGCTAGCAACACCCAAACAATTGGTGCAGTTGGCACACATGTGAAGAAACCCGCTGCAAATATGGGTAGGCTACCAGTCGGGTTCACTGTGCTGACTGATTGTTGCTCACTAAATTCTGAGTCCATAATTTTGCATGATTTGTACTCATCTTCAAACTTAAACTAAAAAAAATGGAGTCATTAGGCCCGACATCTTTGCGAGGTTGCGGTTTAGTTTGCCCTCTCCTGCCAAGGGACGTGCAAAAAGAGGAGGTGGGCCCCTTGTGACTCCAGCAAAAAAAAGCTGAAGCAAAAATCATTCAACCTCGAACATCTTCGTGGAAGATGTGAGTGAATATCCGTTCCAAGCCTTTTCTCACACAGCCATAGCCCCAAGACTCAGGGGGAAACGAAACAGCAAATGAAGAGTTCCAGGGCTGGTACCAAATGGGCCATCCCAAAACCCAAAGACCAAGGAGTCCGCGTGCGGACTCCTTGCCACGGGCCCTCACAGCGTGCGCCCGGGCCCCAAAGGAAGGCTTTGGCCGAGTCATTTTCAGTCGAAAGTGCAATCCACGTGGAGTTGTCTCAAATAACAATCGGGAACCCCCCGAAATGAGTGGTGTCCTTTGCACTTTCCTTTAAATAAAGGTACCCTCACTTTCCCTTCTCCGAGGGGCGGATGGCCAACAGCATCTGCCAGACATTTTCCGCCGCGTCCCTCTCCGTGAAGTGCCCTGCGGAATTCACAGCTCGGGTCTGAAATGTTTGAGGCTTTTTTGAGGCTCGGTAAGGGGCGCCAAAGGAAAAGCGCCGAATTTGCGGAGAGGAGGGGGGAGGTTCCCCCCTTTTGAAGGAGCAAGTACCCAGTGGTCATGGGTGAAAAATCGACGCGCCCCTCGTTTGTTTTGACCTTATGTTGACAATGCCTGGACTGAAACATCTGGGCCGAGCAACTCCCCCGTCGCTGCGAACGAACGCCACCCGCGTCGGACTCGCGGATCCGATCGCTTCCGATGGCCGCGTCCTGCTTCGATGATGCGGTCAAAGAGCTCCCCGCCCTCCAGGAGTTCCATGATCAAAGTGAGGCACTCCTGGCCGGCGGTCGGTTCAGATCAGGCACTGGCTTAAGGGAGCCGAATCGGTTTGGAGGTGAGGGGCGTCCCATTGACCCTTTACAAGAACCAGGGGTTCAGATCCCCAAACCCATCCAAGCCACCAACTAAGGATTCCCTGATACGTCGATTCTCTTGAGCTTACGTACAGGGAAATCGATTGGGTACAGGGGAAAAACGCCCGGCTTTGGTCTAGAAAAAAGGAATCCGGGGTTGTCAATGGCGAACATTGCGGACGCTTGCGCAAAATAAGTTAAGACTTGGGTGTTTCCTTCGGGTTTTAAAGGGAACCAAAAGGAAACCCTTGCCATTTTGTAGGTCCAAGTGCTATTTCAGACACGCCCACTTGAGTTGACCCTCCGGGAAATCCAAAACACGTGATGCGGGAAGTGAGCTCCCAAGCCGAAGCTCCGGCTCCCAATGCCCTGTTTTCATGGCGAATCTTTCCTGGATGTCCACGATTCTGGAACAAGAACGTCGGAAAACAATCCCATTCCCAGTGCATCCCAGTTCCCACTATGGTGGGTAACCAGCCGTTTTATGTTGGGTAGTTGAAGGGCAGTTGGCTTGGTTACTTACAAACCTAGGGCAATGGAATATCCGGGCAAGGGGCAAACATATTGACAAGCATACTCCCTATCCCCAGGCTTCGTCATTCTCTCTGTCCCTTTTCTTGCTCGTTCTCAGTGACAATGAGCAAACCATCCGCTGCAACAATCATAGGTCTGATGTCTTCATCCTTGCTTGCCGAAAGCCAGCGAGATGGTTCTGAATCTGGAACGCATTGATATCCACCAACCATGTTTGCGCTGTTACATCAACATTGGACTCATTTGCAGTTTTGAACACGGGGTGTGTTGCAGGGAAGCTCTTTTTGGTGTTAAGGGGAAACCAAAAGGAACACCGAAGCCTTTTGGGGGCCCCCCAATGTAAGACAAGCCAAGCCTCTTCCCAGATCCCCTGGTGAAAGTTTCCCTTTGGGGGTTTAATGAAAACTAGCACTAAACCTCAAAAATAACTAAAAGCCTAAGCGATTGCATGGCTGGAACCAAGAAACCCATATTCCACACATGGATTTGGACTCATGGGTTTCCGTCCTTGGACTCGTAGGCGTCGACCATTCGCGCGAGGTTGGGGTGGTCCACGGTTAGAAGGATCTCCACCTCTGTCTCGATCTCCTTACCTCAAATGGGTTTGTCTCAAGAACCTACACAAGGGTGGCAAAAAGGGTACCCTCACAACAGGCACACCAAGACCTCCGAAATTCTGACATGTATGGCGACACTTCACTCGGCAGAACTCATCTCCGGGCCAAGGGGCCAGTTCACCCTGGAAAATGGTCTGACGGTTGTGGACGTATTGGTTGGTGGCCCCTTCACTGGGGGCATGACTTTTAATGGCGGAATCTCTAGTGGACGTTGCTTTCCACCAACCTGGAGCGTTCCAGCCACTATAACGCAGGGTCACATAGGAACGTCAAAGGTCTTCCTCAAACCACCCTCTTGGCCATGGCTTTTTGGGCAACTTGCCGGGACCCTTGGGGTTGACTTCAAGGATCACCAAAGGGAAGGCGCCGCTGTTTGGGGGGCGCGGGGCTGTCCTCTATTTCAGCACACACACACGGAAAAAAAGGAAGAACAAAAAGACAAAGCGGTCTCTCAGGCTCCCTGCACTTCAGCTCGGAGATGCCGGGCAAGTTGTAGGTCCTCAGCTGAAACGCAGCGTCATGGGTTTGTGTCAAGAACCAACATCAGTGGTTGTCCTGTTGTTTTCCCTTTCAACCAAGCTGAAAAGGGCACACCAAAAACCCACACACGCCATTGGAGTGAGGAAACTGGAGGAAGGAACCTTCTCTTGGGCTTGCGTGAGCACATTTGTCCAGCTGCGCCCACGGCCCCATGCGAACTTGAGCGGGTGAGCGTGTGACACATTGCAAAGGCAGCATGGATTCGATGCGTGCCAGAGGTGGACATGCCAGTCTAAAGCATGAATTGTGTCTTGCATGTTCGTCGTGTTAAATACTCCAATAGCCGTCGGAACAGCCCGCGTGTACGAATCCGTCGAGCGAAAGAGGGCATTCATCTCGTTCTGGATTGGCGGGAAAGGTCACATGAGACAGCACGGGCAGAACGCGCCATTCTGCCGCCGAACATCCCCAGTGGCGCTCTCGGCATTGTTGTTGTGCCTCAGCGCGCCTTGCATATTGTTTGTGACCGGCGTCATGACTCCGTTTTGCCGAGTCACGTCGCCTGTGCCACTCGTTGCGTTGTTGTTGCCCCTGAAGGCGCCCGCCATGTCGTTGTTGACGTTGAGCCCATTCTGCCTGTCTGTGGTGATGTGAACAGAGTTGATGATTGTGATGTTGCCGATGAGCGCGCCCTGCGCAGGCACTGCCACACCCGCTGACAGGAGAGAGCGTAGCAGAGTCTCCACCTCAGCCAAGACAGCTGGAGAGACCTGTGCGTTGCTCGTCTGCTGCTCAGGAGACGCTGCAATTCGGACGGGACCCTGGCACTCGGCGCTTGACGAAGTAGCCATGCAGGGGCTGGCCCAGTGGCGGGTAAGGCCCGAGTCGGCGAGTATCCGTGGAGTTAATCCTCTGAAGGTGGGTTTGTAGAGTCTCTTTTGCTCTTTGGGTGTTTGATCCAAGTAGGACCCTGTTGGGGTGTTGTTGAAGGGGACTATCCATTTTAGGGGTTTCTCCTGTGTTGAGACAGATCGAAATCACCCCACTGGATTGCAGCTTGGGGCGTGCCAGTCACTTGACTTGACAAGCCACAAGGATGCTCGCGTGCTGAAGCCCAAACGGCAAAGACACCAACCCACGATACCGTGGACAATGGGGCCAAAATGTCCAGGAGTCATCCCAACACCCATGATGTCCATGATGAAGAATCAACAGGGTGGAAAGCCTCAGCCATGGTTGATACTGCCCCCTAAACCTCAGTTACCCAGATTCTGATGGCTCAAATCTTTGCTTTTGGTCTCTACCCGAGCGGCTCACCCACCAGCTCACTTAAACCAGCTCAACATGATGGTTGAACCCAATATCAACTTACGCTCCACCTTGTGGTCTGGCCTTACGATAAGGTGTACCTTCCCCGTTTGGTCCAAAAGGAACTCGGGTCCAAATCCCAAAACCACCAATCCAATGAATTGGGAGAATGTCGATCTTGGATAAATCAAGCTGGTGGAAAGAGGGAAGCCCCTCGGATCGACACCAGTGGGTGTCCTTTTGGTTTGCCCTTCGCAGGCGGAAGGGAACCTTCCAAAAAACACAAACCCAGTTCCACAGATGGTCAGTCCCTCCTGCCCATCTGAATGGTTCTAGGAACCTTCTAAGAACCCCTTCAGGACCCCTTCTTAGGTTCTAAGAACCCTTCCAGGTAACTGAGGGCCTACGTGTCTCCCCAAAGTTGGAAGCCTTTCCCAAGATTCTTGCATTTTGAGTCTGGGCGCTTCGCAGCAAACTTCCGGCCCGTGTGTTTGCTTGTCACGAGCCACACCTGGCCGTGTCAGCCCCAGGTATATGAGCAAATGGAACGACGTGCCTTGTAGCTCACCAAAAATGATAGCAAACCCAAGAAAAGTCTTACATCGAAAAACATGACGAGCCAAAGACTGGGAAGTTTTCTGTCTCTGCCGTCGGTGTTGCTCCCCGGATGCTATCCACTTAGACTTACAGGGGTCCTTGTGCTCAGCATACTGCCCGCACTACAAATGGTCGGGTGACGAATCTGCTCACTACAATCCGATTAGTGCCCCCTGACTGAAGAATTGAGCGGGCAACTGCGCACTCCGTTGCTTCCTGATTGGTCTGGTCCAAGCACGTCTAAATTTGAGTCGCCACTAAAATGTTTCCCAACTAGCACGCAGTCCAGAAACTCAGCAACTGAACCGTGCACCGTGCATGATATTTGTTCGCCAGTTCGCTGAGCACTTGGCTGCAAACTTTGCCACAAGTTGCCCCGAAGCACTTGGAATACCAATTGAACACAACAAACAAAGAAGAACGGATGTCAACACATTCAATATGAAGTGTGGCTACTGTATGTTGGTGGATGTCAAAATGATCCCCAAACCTCTGGCGGCAATGGGACAAAGTGCACCTTGTCTTGGGTAGAATATTTTCCAGGGACGCCTTCCCGAATCATGAAAAAGGGTCTCAAAAGAGGCCCATGTTTTTCACAATCCCCCACATGTACTTCTCTGAAATGGACCGTGTTTGCCTTCTCCGCTTTCACGACATAACCTGCGACGCTGATTTACAAACAAATCCAAGCTCACTCAACAAACCGGTTTGATCCGACTAGCTCCCAGCCAGTGAGAGTAAATGAGCGATGTGTTTGTGCCCGCCCAGATCTGACCACAATGCAGAACACATGTTCGTGAACGGCAGTGGTTCGGGACCAAAAGGACTGTGAAATAATCACCAAAGAAAGTGTTCACGCAGGGCATCTTCATCTGGCAGTTGTCACAGAAGTGGGATTCTGTTCCCACGACAACCAGAAGAGTCGTGATTGATACGACTCAATCGACATCGCAGCCTGCCTGGCCATTTGCTCCGCTGCCCAGTACGTGATGCTGATCGACCTGCGGATCGGCCGGCTGAAGCAGAGCAGGCCAAGCCCCTGCGCAAGCAGAAATGGCATAGCAGTGGAAAGAGCAAGCCAAATGCCTGTTCATCCTCACGTCTAAAGATCACCCGAACTCTCCACCCAGAAGTAGGTTATTGAAACTCAACTGATCTGATCACATACGCTGGCACGAAAGCTGCAAAGCAGATCTCATGTCAAAGCACGCCTGGTCTCGGGGGTGGGCCACTTGCGCAAAGTTGACTGCACTTGTTCTCTGATTATTTCTCCTTCTCTGCTTATATTTGACAGACGCAGATCCTAAACCGAGACCGGGGGTCCAAATTTATTGATTTCAAGATGTGTGGTTTCCAACACGGTAGGCTCAAGAACAAAACCCTTAAACCTCCTGCCCCAGGACCAAGACGGAAACGCCGGAAAGATTGAAGACTGGTCGTGGCATGCTGTCGACTTCGCTCTTTGAAGGATCGCCGTCGCACTCTCTATGTTCACAGTGACACGAACAAAAGTACCCACTAACATTTGGCCAGAGTATAAGAACTCACCAACTTAAACTCGCCAACCCCTAAAGCCAAAAACCGGAGAAACGGGTGAACGAAAGCAAACCGGCTCGGCAACAACACGTCCGACTCAGTGGCTCCTAGAAAGTCATTGAGACCCGAACTTGGACCTACTGCGCAAGCTTCCCTAGCCGCAAGCCATCGCCATATTTTCGGAACGCGCTGGCAGCGAGGCGCCCTTCCCCGAAAAAGGGTGGTCTACGTACGTACTTGAGGTCGCAGTTCCCCTTTGCAATATCACTTGCATGCGCCCAAAGATTAACATGTAACCTGGCCAAGCGTCCCATCAGAAGGAAACGTCCCTCGAGGCGGGTACCACAGGATCCATGTTTGCCGGCCGGAAAGAGTAGTCCGATTAATGCTCGCATCTGCTTGGCCCTCAGTCAGTTCCACTTGCCTCCACCCAAAAAAAAAAACGCTATCCTTAGAACTCAAGCGAAACCAGCTATCTACACATTTAGAAGCTGGCCCAATCACCACTGCCAGGCCCATGTCCCTCGCCTCGTAGTCTTGCTCCAAGTGCCTCTCCTGCGCAGATAAAAACAAAATGCGCACACAAGCACACATACACACCAAAGCAACAAACACATACACACACAGGCACACACATTGAGACACACACATATACAGCAAAACGAGTTTCAAAACAACGCACTTGCAGTTTCAACGAGGGCTGCAATTTCATTTGGAACAAAAACCATATCGCCCCTGCGGGGGCGTGTGTGTGTGTGTGTGCTGAGTGCCAGATCAAACCCTGACACCACCATCTGCAATAGAATGCAGGGGGCGGGAGGGAGACCACAGTGCTACTGCCAACAAAGACAGCTGTGGAATCTCCATGAAGCGGAGCGAGACGCCAATCCGTGTACCTGCAGTAGTGATGTTTCTGAAATTCCATTTGGCCCTCCTTTGGTCGCTGTGTGTGCTTCGCATTGGATCTGGTAACGTTTTCGAATCTAGAGGGAGGCCACCCGTCTTGCCACTCGATCTGCCCACTCGAACCACCCACTCGAATCAAGCCAACTCGAATATCAGACTCCTCCTTCAAAAATTTAAATGTTTGTGGGTGTGTATCTTTGTGCGCTTACGTGCTTGTGTGTGTGGTTGTGCCTGCGGGCGTGGCTTATTTTTGTGTGAGAGAGACAGAGAGAGAGAGAGAGACAGCGAGCGAATCATTGTGTGTGTGTGGTGTGTGTGTGTGTCTGCAATGCGTGTGCGTGCAAATACATATATATATATATATAATGTGTGTGTGTGTGTGGGGTGTGTGTGTGTGGGTGTGTGTGTGTGTTGTGTGTGTTGTGTGTTGTGTGTGTTGTGTGTGTTGTGTGTGTTGTGTGTGTTGTGTGTGTTGTGTGTGTGTTGTGTGTGTTGTGTGTGTTGTGTGTGTGTGTGTAAGTGCGTGCGTGTGTGCGTGTGTGCGTGTGTGCGTGTGTGGGTGTGTGTGTGTGTGTGCGTGTGCGTGTGCATGTGCGTGTGCTTGTGCGTGTGCGTGTGCGTGTGCGTGTGCGTGTGCGTGTGTGTGCGGGTGCGCGTGCGCGAGCGCGAGCG